AGGTGGGTTATGTAATAATAATAGGGGTTGCTCGTGCGTAAGTTGCCGCCACTCCTGGCTAGGTTGCCTGGTTAAACCTTTTCTGTCTGGACAGCCCTTCACTTCGTGGCTGTTTCAGTCGCTAGCAGAATCCGTCAGTGGGCGTTTCTTAAACCCTTTCCAGCATAAAAGCTGTTTGACGCCAAGTCTCCTCCTACTCTCCCTGCGCGGAAGTCTTGCCTCCGCCTCTGGCTCCGATGTCAGTTCCCTGACAGGTTACATTCAAGGTCAACATTAAGTCATCACTTAGACCATATCAAACAGCAAACAGAAACTGTGCAGAAGGAGTTATGCTCTGCAAAAAAATGCATCTTGAGCAGCCAGTGATGGGGTGAGACACAACTTAGCAGGGAGGGCATATCACAACCCAGAGGCCATCACAGTGAAGATCCTCTCATGCACCACAACCCAATGAACTTCAAAGGTCAACTGTAAAAATGCAAATTTCAAAGGTGTGTCAGTTCACTTATTGTTTAAAGAGGTATAGTTCTGATGGATTGGCCTTTAGATGAGAATTGAAATTATTTCAGTTCCCCCAAATATCACCTTTGCCTAGTGCAGAAACGGAACTGACTCTAGCACCACCATATTCCTGACTAGAAACCCTTGCCTCGACTGGAGTCTGAAAAATGAAGAAGTGCAAGCAAATTGGCAGAGAATTTTCTCTGTGCAGTGCTGGGCTGGCACCTCTGTGGAGAGAATTCCACAAGGAGCTCATTATTACTCCAGGAATAACACCACAAATGTGTAAAAGGGAGAGGGAGGAAGAAAGAAAGAAATCACTGCAGGAAGAACTGAAGGACGCAAGCAAAGAAACTAAGCAGTGTTGCTCACTCAGAGAGTCTATGTTTGCGACACAAGATTCAAATGCTTCTTGCATCAGACTTTTGTGTAAGAGTCTCAGGAACATTTCCTCACTTCATCTCCCATGTGCAGCACAGGAAAATGTAACATCCAAACCAAAAGGGTTATAAGACAACCAATAAAACTACAGTAACTCTTAAGGCAGATTTCATGACAACTTATTTACAGGTTTTCCAAAAAGCCCCCAGCAGCTCTATTAACTGGGACACATGTGGTGCTTTGCTAGGTATTGTGGGGTTGTTTGTTTGTTTCTAAAGGGGCAGATAAATGAATAAAAAGGGTGTGTGTAAGAGGGGAGAATCTTTTTCTGTTCAGCAGATACTATACCTCCAGCAGGTTCAGCAAAGCAACTTCTTCAAGTCTACTTGTGGAAACTCTACTTCCAAAATTATTTATTGCTGCTTTATAAGATAAAGGGACCCCTGATAGTTAAGTCCAGTCGTGAACGACTCTGGGGTTGCAGCGCTCATCTCGCTTTACAGGCCTAGGGAGCCGGCGTTTGTCCGCAGTCAGTTTTTCTGGGTCATGTGGCCAGCATGACTAAGCCACTTCTGGTGCAATGGAACATTGGCACCAGAGCAGCACATGGAAACGCCGTTTACCTTACCTATTTATCTACTTGCACTTTGACGTGCTTTCGAACTGCTAGGTTGGCAGGAGCTGGGACCGAGCAACGGCAGCTCACCCCATCGCGGGGATTCAAACTGCCAACCTTTTGATCGGCAAGCCCAAGAGGCTCAGTGGTTTAGACCACAGCGCCACCTGCGTCTTAAAACAGAACTCAATAAGATGTGTGGGGTATAAATAGTAAAATTATCATTGTGGAATGAGACGTCCCTATTTTCATTGGAGAAATGTTGGAGGGCATGTAAAACTGGTATAGCATGGTAGTTAAGAGACTGAGACGTGAATCACGAGAGCTCCAGTTCTACTCTTGCCTTTGCCAGATAGTCTACTAGATGAGTCTTAAGCAAGCTCTTCTCCTCCAGCCTCAGTCTGCCTATCAGCTGTATGGGGGACAGCAATACTTCATTTACCTGAAAGGACAGTTGTAAGGACTTCAACTGGCCAATGCATGTAGAGTGTTTTGAACTTTTGAAATCACTATACTGATATTAAGTATTATTTATTAGCGCATTTATTTATGACATATTGCATTGCTAAACTTTTATAAATTGTTATCTATTAAGACATTGCTAGGAGACCTCAAAGCAACAATTCACATGCAACCTGTTTTCTCACACTGGAAGCACGGATCCATAAATCCATAAAACTCAGCTTGCATTGTTAGCCTTCATTATTTCTATTTTTGTCTGTGCAGTTCCGAAGGAGGGATGGAGCTGTCAATACATTGGGATTTTAAAACCCAAATGAAAATTTCTCATATACACAATAATAGAGCTATTCATCCATTACAAGCATCCCTGGAAGTGTTAACTTTACTCCCTCTGCTGGCCATGAACGAAAACATCTCGTCCCTGTATAGAATATTCTACTTGCTTTTCATCAACATCAAGGGGCGAACTGGACACTATGGTGGGGAAATGGCCCTAAGTGGTAGAATGCAACCTCCTATAGAAGAGCGTGGAAGCAATTTGAAGGGTAGGGTATGAGGGGGATACTGAACCTTACACACACACACACATACATACAAACACACACACACCTAAAAAATATTCTCAGTCCTTGGTTGTGGGTATGCATGTCGGTGTGTGATGCCCGCAAGAATTTCTCCAGTTTGCTGATACACCCCCAGACCCCCTAGAAGTTGCTGGTCCCTGCTTTGGAATACTGATTGCCAGATAGGGTGGCTTTGTGTCCTATCCTACAGGGGGCAGTCCTCTTTTTGTAGGGACTCCATTTTTAAAGGCAGCCCAGTCCAGGTCCAGCTTAAAAAGAAAGAACCTTAAGAAGGGAGAACAGGAGCCTTGAGGTTGCCCATCAACACTTAACCCCTGGACAGGGTTAAGGGGGCAACCCAACTGCCCTGCCACTGTCTCCTCCGCTATGCTGAGATGCCCTGCACATACTCTATAGAGATGTAACACATGTATACATATAAATGAGCACCTGCGAGTTTTATGCAAATCAGAGTCCACTTTTCTGGTGATACCATTCCTTTTCGTTGGGTAAGTGAGTGGCCGTCCATTTGTTAGCTGCCCTGACTCACAGAATCATAGAACTGTAGTGTTGGGAGGGACCCCCGAGACTCACCTAGTCCAACCCCCCTGCAATGCAGGAATTTCAGCTAAAGCATCCATGACAGATGGCCATCCAACCTCTGCTTTAAAAATCTCCAAGGAAGGAGAGTCCACAACCTCCCGAGGGAGGCTGCTCATTATTCAGAATAGTGGTTTGCACGACCGACTAAGAAAGATAACAACACAATGAAATTCAAAACAGCGTCCCTAAATTGCACATTTATTTGCAATTCAATTAAAATTGTTTAGCCTAAACAATTCAACAAAATTGGTGGAGATGATACCAGCTTTTTCAAAGGTCATTTGCACCCGGCCCCCCCCCCCCGTCTCTTCACTTGCCTTGTAGCACTGCCCCCAGGTAATCGCACTGCCCCTCACCCACCCCCTGGGTTCTAAACTATGTGAGGATGGTTGCAACTCAGGCTTCAAACCGTTGAAAATTGGCTTGGCTCTCTGCTCTAGGAAAAAAAGAATCTGGCTGGCACTATCAATGTGCAATTATGGGCGAAAGGAGGCCTTTAAATATGCATTTATTCAGAGGGCGACAAGTGTTGCTGCCTCACAATACAGAGCATGAATTATGCACACGTTTTATCATGCCATAAAGTATCTCCAGGCCTTGAAGATGTCACCAAGCATTATTCCATTCAACAAACACGGAGACCAAGTCATTATTTTCTTGACTTTTCCCTAAGATGAGCATTTGCAGCAAGAAATAGAAGTGCTTTAGTGCTCTTTGATTGGGTAAGTGGATTTGCTATACACAGACACACACACACACACACACACACACACACAGTCCACAGAAAACCTTGTGTGACTGACAAAAGTGCAGACCTCAGGCTTCTACCCATCTAACAAACTGGCAAAATACAACGTTGGCAACACGGCGCATTTCTCTGGGCTGGCTAGATCATCAATAGACCTCTATTCTTCTAGCAGGGAGAAGCCAGGAGGATGAAAGAGGTAACTTGCTTTTCTATGCATTTTTAAACCTTTGTGCTCTTTGCTGAAGCTGCCAGTGTAAAAAAAAACCACCCCAAAACCCCCCTGTCAATTAGGTAAACCTTGCACAACCGGCATTGTTAAGAAACAGACTCTCTCCTTCAGAAATGTTGGGACACTGGCAACAAATGTTGGACTGAAAGAATAAGTTCTGTTCACTGTAATTTACAACAAGCCAATGCCCTAGAGCTGCTGCTGTTTATTTATTTTTTAAAAAAACATTTAAGCATTGCATAGCTCCGGGAAAGTGCTCTCACAGTTACCTACTTGGCTGGTAGTTCTAGCACAGCTTTCCCTTCTCATTTTTTCCAATCAGTCTACAAAAGCCACCCTAAACTGCAGTAATTTCATTTCAACACAGCACTGCAGAGGAGACTTTAAAACTGCAATAAAAGCATACATGGTGGCTACAAGATGTGGCTCTCATAGTCCCCATAAATATTTCCACTTCATATGTGAGCATGTACTAAACTGGAAGTCGCCAACCTTTTTGGACCAGTGAGCACGTTTTGAATTTTGAGAGTGCGCTGCAGGCACCATCCATAAAATGGCTGTCATGGGGAGTGAGGAATAACACAAAATAAGAGACAACCACCCGCAACCATCAGACATCAGCTATGTCTTGCTGGTCCTGATTGTGGAAATCACACAGTACTGATCACACACAAATAGTAATGCCGCTACTAATAGCAACAGGGAGCATTCCTCAGTACCAGGGAAAATATACAAGGTGGCCACAGAACATTCGTTTCACATAAATTGCTTAGAAGGTACCTGCCTTTCTTACTCCATAACTTCATTTCTATGAGAGCTAGAATCATAGAATTGCTGTGTTGGAAGGGACCCTGAGGATAATCGAGTTCAACCCCCTGACATGCAGGAATAGGCAGCCGTCCCATGCAGGATTCAAACCTGCAACCTTGATGTTATCAGCATCATGCTGTAACCAACTGAGCTATCCAGGCTGAGATACTTGCTCCTTCTTTTTAAACGAAAGCTCAGAGTCTTGGGAAGCTGTCCGTGGCACCAGTGAATGCCTTTTTGGGAGCCACAATGATCGTGGGCACCAAGTTGGTGACCCCAGTTTGCTTAAGGTAGGTGACACAGATTAAACTAATCAAATCTTAAACTAACCAAAACTAAACTAGAGGGGTCAGTTTATCAGTTCTGGGGTTGTAGTGCAGTGTCTTAAAACATTATCATTTAAATCTGAGGTCAAAATTCGAATTCCACAGTATGTCACATTCTTGTTCCAGTTATTCCCTTTCAATGGTGAGCATTCTTAATATAGGCTGGATCTAGACGTATCAAAGAAGCGTCTCAGTTAAATGTGTTGCAAACTTTGCATGAGAAATCGGGTTGACAAAAATGGAACTCCACAGTGCCACCTGGTGTCACGGTGTTAGAATGCATAAACAATGCACATAAAGCATTTTTTCTTTGCCAATGTAGCTGAGTCCAAAGCTTTAAACTTTATTTTAAAGCTTTACTTTAAAAGTTGCTATTTTTAAAATTAACTGATACTTTTAGTGAAAATGTTTGCAAATGAATACAACTCGTAACATTCATAGGCATACCTTGAACTGATAAAAGGCAGAGACACTTTGTGGGACTACAATTTATAACCTCTTGATATAAGCCATTGTTTTGAGACAGTGCCTCAAATAACATTTCTATTCTTAGAAATAGCAATGTCTTAAAGCCATCACACTACAGTTGCAGACCTGATAAATGGAGCATTTCCTTTATTTCTGTAGTCTTCATTCAACAAGGATAGATGAAAGAAAGTCTCTCCCCGCCCCAACTCCTCTCCCTCTCTCTTGTTAGATGAACAGTAGCAAGCCAGAAAGTGTTTAAAATGGGGGGGGGGCAGGACAAAAAGGGAGGACTTACAATGGCGCAATCCCATACATGCATATGCAGAAGTAAGCCTCACTTAGTTCAATGGAGCTTACTACCAAGTAAGCGAGTATAAGATTGCAGCCCAGATAGAGCATAGTTATACCACATCTTCCCCCAAGTGGAATGTTTTATTTGTTTTGTTAATTTTTGCTCAGCCTTTTTACACACAGAACACAAAGTGGCTTACATAAAACCAGAATAATTCAAGCAAAGTAAATATAGTACCTTACATCTAAAAAAGAAATGAAAATGCAGGAAGAATTTGTGCATATGTTTATTCTATTTTTTAAAAAAAGAATTTTTTTCTGTGCATTCAAATGAATGGGGAACGATGCTGGGCATTGTTGAAGGTGCCAAGAGCAATCCCTGGCATCTCCAGATAGGGCTGGTAAAGACATCCTGGAGAGCTGCTACCAGTCAGTACAGACAGTACTGGATAGATGAGCCAACCTGCAAAGTAGAGATGGCGGCCAATTCAACATTATGTTGCTTAGGTGTACACCTAGCATTTTAATGTGTGAATGGCACATATGTATCAATACAGATGAGTACCATCTGAGTACCAGGATTGGCTGTTGCTTCCTGTAAACCTGTGCAGAGGGTTACAGAGCCTACAGAACATGTGAAAAGGTCCTCATTGTGAAGGTGTAGAGTGACAGTTTTGTTGTCTAACTCAAGGATGGGGAACCAGTGGTGCTCGATTTGTTGTTGGACTACAACTCCCATCATCCCTCTATTTGTTGTTGGACTACAACTCCCATCATCCCTCACTGTGCTTCCTGGGGCTGATGGGAGTTGGAGTCCAACACCAGTACCTGGAGGGCCACAGGTTTATTTTCTTAGCCCTGGTCCAAGAAAAGCTGTGAGCAACCAGAGCGCCAGACTCGCTGGCTTCTCCAGTGTATTCTGTAAGACAACCATTTAAAGAAGAAGAAAACTAACCCAATGACAAGTTGATGCCACTTTTGGAAGCGATGAAAAGGGAGAAAATAGTTGTCAAGCTGAAAGAAAGATGGGGGTTGGGGAGGGATTACAGGAGCAGGAAGATGAAGGAGATGTGTGAGTGGAGAGAGTACGATTTTGGCTGGCTATCCCATGCACTTCATTAAAACACTGTTATGCTGGCAAGGGGAGAAGAGCAATTGAGTAATGGCACATTTAAAAGCAAACGCAGAGTGAAAGGCTAATCAAGGCTTCGTATGCAAATGCTTTCACTCCTAATTGCAAGAACTGCTGGCCCGCTCAGAATGCATTTGACTGGAGACTGAGATTCCTCCTTTCTCCTTTGTCTGAAGGGCTTCTTGACCCTCTTTGGTTCTAATAGAATACTTAGAAGTGAGAAATGCAAAAGAAATAAGCAACCTTAATGTTTTTAGATGCAGAGAAAGCATTTGATAATGTCTCCTGTTTAAGGTTTTGGAATATATGAGCTGTGGAGAAACATTCTGTGGAGAATGTTATTTTTGTTTCAATCATTGCAAATCTTGGACAAAAGGGACTGTTTCAAGAAGTGGCAGAGAGACATTTCTAGATTTGTTTGGCAGGGCAAGAAACCCAGAATAAAATTTAAAATATTAACTGATGAAAAGGAAAGAGGTGGATTTGCCCTGCCAGACCTTAAACTTTATTATGAATCAGCAGCTTTTTGCTGGTTGAAAGAATGGCTGCTTCTTGAAAACACTGACATTTTGGATCTAGAAGGTTTTAACAATGTATTTGGATGGCATGCATATCTGTGGTATGATAAGGTCAAAGCACATAAAGCATTTAAAAACCATATTGTCAGGAAAGCACTGTTTAAAAGGATCTAGGAGTCTTGGTTGACCACAAACTTGACATGAGCCAACAGTGTGACGCGGCAGCTAAAAAAGCCAATGCAATTCTGGGCTGCATCAATAGGAGTATAGCATCTAGATCAAGGGAAGTAATAGTGCCACTGTATTCTGCTCTGGTCAGACCTCACCTGGAGTACTGTGTCCAGTTCTGGGCACCACAGTTCAAGAAGGACATTGACAAACTGGAACGTGTCCAGAGGAGGGCAACCAAAATGGTCAAAGGCCTGGAAACGATGCCTTATGAGGAACGGCTAAGAGAGCTGGGCATGTTTAGCCTGGAGAAGAGGAGGTTAAGGGGTGATATGATAGCCATGTTCAAATATATAAAAGGATGTCACATAGAGGAGGGAGAAAGGTTGTTTTCTGCTGCTCCAGAGAAGCGGACACGGAGCAATGGATCCAAACTACAAGAAAGAAGATTCCACCTAAACATTAGGAAGAACTTCCTGACAGTAAGAGCTGTTCGACAGTGGAATTTGCTGCCAAGGAGTGTGGTGGAGTCTCCTTCTTTGGAGGTCTTTAAGCAGAGGCTTGACAACCATATGTCAGGAGTGCTCTGATGGTGTTTCCTGCTTGGCAGGGGGTTGGACTCGATGGCCCTTGTGGTCTCTTCCAACTCTATGATTCTATGATTCTATGATTCTAATGTTTGGATAAGATACAAGGATTTATTGGAAAATAAAACCCCAAGGTGGCTGTCACCGATGGAAGCGAAAGCTCTGAGAAAGCTCAATATGGAGGCCAAATGGCCGAAATATTGGGAAATTTTGGAACAAGATGGAGATAGACTGAAATTACAGAGTTTTGAAAAATTAAAAAACAAAGTGCGAGACTGGCTTCATTATTATCAGATAATGGAGGCATATAATTTGGACAAGAAAATTGGCTTCCAGGTGGAAAAATCAAAATTGGAAACAGAACTGTTAGAACCCAAAACTAAGAATTTGTCAAGAATGTATAACTTGCTGTTGAAATGGAATACTCAGGATGAAACGGTGAAATCTGCTATGATTAAATGGGCACAAGATGTTGGACATAACATAATGATGGCTGACTGGGAACAGTTATGGACCACAGGTATGAAGTTTACGGCATGTAATGCCTTAAGAGAGAATATTGTGAAAATGATATACAGGTGGTACATGACCCCAGTCAAGCTTGCAAAAATCTATCATTTGCCCGATAATAAATGTTGGAAATGTAAAGAAACTGAAGGTACATTCTTTCACCTTCGGTGGACGTGCCCAAGGATTAAGGCTTTCTGGGAGATGATCTATAATGAATTGAAAAAGGTATTTAAATATACCTTCTTGAAGAAACCAGAGGCCTTTCTCCTGGGCATAGTCGACCAATTGGTGCCAAAGAAGGACAGAACTTTTTTTATGTATGCCACAACAGCAGCAAGAATACTCATTGCAAAGTATTGGAAGACACAAGATCTACCCACTCTGGAAGAATGGCAGATGAAGGTGATGGACTATATGGAACTGGCGGAAATGACTGGCAGAATCCGAGACCAGGGAGAAGAGTCGGTGGAAGAAGATTGGAAGAAATTTAAAGCCTATTTACAGAAATATTGTAAAATTAATGAATGTTAGAATGATGTTGGATAGAAAGTAAGTGGTTTCTAGCTGTAATACTATAAGAGAATATGAAAAATGGATTACTAACAGGTAAAAATTTAACGTTACAATACTTTAAGATTAAAGACTTGGATAAACAAAGAGGGGAAGGATTTGCTGAACCAACAAACCGAACTGGAATACAAAAAAGGGAGGCGTGAGGAGGTCCGGGAAATAAGCTAATGAAAAATAAGTAATGGAAAGATTGAGTTGTTTTTAACTATTTTTATTTTGTATTTTTCCTTTTTTTCTTTTTATTTTGTAATATTTTGAAAATTTCAATAAATATCTTATATAAAAAAAAGAAACTTTTATAAAAGGAGTTAAGGCAATGTATACAGAACCATCAGCAAAATTGATAGTAAATAACATATTGACTGAGAACTGAAAGATAACTAAAGGCACTAAACAAGGTTGTCCGCTGTCACCTTTATTGTTTATATTAGTTTTAGAAATTTTGCTGCAAAGAATAAGAAGAGTTTGGATTTGATATCCCGCTTTATCACTACCCGAAGGAGTCTCAAAGTGGCTAACATTCTCCTTTCCCTTCCTCCCCCACAACAAACACTCTGTGAGGTGAGTGGGGCTGAGAGAATTCAAAGAAGT